ACGCCCCACACCACTCGCCAGCCCACGCCAACCACCGAGACGAGCCCCTCCCCCCGCGCTGGTCTGACGCGACAGCTGGTCTACAAAGCGCTCCACCCGGCGACCCGAGCCGATGTCAAACAGCGTGGGTAGACTGTGCCGCTTCACTCTCGGGTCATGCGGCACAGCCTACCGGTACCAGGCGGCTGCTGCCAATGCTGAGCCATAGGAAGCCGGTGGATAAAGAGTAGGGGACCATCAACCTGTACACGACTGTACCTGCCCGGACGGTCCTCAGGGCGGGCAGTGGCGCTGATGCCACCTGTTTGGCACCTCGTTGCCGCCGGACGCTCTCGCCACCTGGGTGGCGCCAATGAGTGGCGGCAGCTGTGTGATGAGGCGCGCGATTCATTCCCACCGGCGGGCGCGCCTTCACAGCGCACTAATGACTCGCCAGGTACCACTCGACACGGTCCCACGCATCCCTCAGTGCTAATACAGCTGTGCCGCGCTAATATAGGCGCTCTGAGACCGGGCTGTCACTCTGGTGAACTATAGCCTCGGCCTGCCGCTGTACCAGACCGTTGAGAGGCCTTGAATTGTTCAATTATTCAGGTGTGCGACGCTCCGGCGCCCACCGCTGCTCAGCGTTCGATGAAGTGGTCATCTATCCCCGAGGAAACACGGTGCCGACAATAGGGAAAGTGCCTATCACGTTTCTCGTACCGAGGAATGTCGAATATTGAGAACGCCCGGACCATTATCGCGGAACGTCAGTCGTGTATTTAAAAGACGCGTTGGTGTTATCAGCTGTTCGGACAGCGTGCCGAGGGCGGTGGATCGGTATCTGGAGTCCTTACACGGCCAGAAGTGCTATAGCAGCGCCTCATCGACATCGATCGACTTTGATACGGCGTGACACACTTTACTAATGATCGGTGTACCACATCGATAGCCGCCGCCTCTCGCCACGTCTTCTCATCACAAGTATGAGCAGTGATTGTCTGAATGAAGTCCTGGCGACTATAATGCGCTTATTAGTACATCGTTAGAAAATGATCGGCCTGAGGTCAGTGTGAGATGATGTCTACTTCCCAGATTTGATTTACTTTCCTCGCTTTCCTGTCCTCCCAGTGCACCATGTTCTGAACCGAGATATATCTAAAGTCAGCGCCGACTCGCCGACTGCACAGAGCTGAGAGCGCTCTTACGTTCAGTCGGCGCTGATGAGCCGCTCATCAGGCGGCCGTACCCGGCCGGCAGCTGTCCGGCTCGGCCCCTAACCCGGTTAGCTGTGGTCAGCGCGCCGGGGCGGCTGTTTTTCCACCGGCGCCGCTCCACTCGCCGGCTCATCATGTCCACCATTACGGAGATTAAAAGGTGTCCGCGCGCATCCTAACGAGTGCGACGGGCGACGTTTTTGCGCTGCGGACACGACCGGGTCTCTCGCGCAGCTTTGTCAGCGTGGCGCGCCCTACGCTCGTGACACGGACACTCGGACACACTGGGTGGACAGATCGGCGGCTCACAGGGCGGAGCCGGTGCACGGCGCCTGCAGCAGCGGGGCGGCGCCGGCTAATTGCGCACCCAGACCGAAGATAGCCCCCAGTCGCCCGATCCGGCCAGACGGGCCGTGTCAAGGCCAGGGCGTTGCAACAGACTCTGAGAATTGAGATAGGCGTATAGGGCAACTGCAGGCGCTATCTCAGAACTCGACACCGGGCAGATTCCCACGCGTTTTCTCTCGGGGGTTTGTGCTCCGTTTAGTCAAGCTGTGTGCGTCTGGATGGGTTTCGCCGCAAATGGTCGGATCCTCACGCACGGGCGGGACCAGTTCTTCAATGTGGCGCAGCCAGCCGGTTGGCTGGCGTAAAAACGACGACCAGTTGACATTCCATTGCAGAACGCACTAAAAATGTGACTGAAATTTGCGACACGGCCGCTACTGCAGTAGTCGCCGGTGAGTCACCCACGCTGCCCGGCGTGATGTAGCGCTGCAGGCCCGGCGGGTTTCACATCGATCGTGAGACGGTCACGCGCCTCCCATGACTCCAGGAAGCTGCGGGCCGGCCGACCGCGGGACTGGCCGGCCTGCTGCAACGGTCCGGCCGGTCCCGCTGCGAGCCGCGCTGACCTGCAGGTCAGCCCGCCTGACCCGTCTTCGACCGCAGCTCCCAGGCGCAGCGCGCCGTCACGAGGTTTCCACAGCTGGAAAGTTGTCCGTAGGGTCTCACTCGCGCGAAACTCCTTCCAGGCCTCTCACAGATGTGTGGGAGGAGTTGGCCTGCCGCGGATGTTAAAAATACTTACGGGCGATGTCAGGGAGCCGGCGAAGGAATGTGGAGGCCCCCGTAATCACGCCTGATAACTGTCGGGCCGGTGTCCCTCAGTGACAGCGACCCTCGCATCAGCCTGTCCGGGGACCGTCCTGGGAGGAGGGGGGGGGGGGGCTGGATTGAACCCACCCAGGGGACGGCGGGAGGGAGAATCACGCGGCACTAAGCCGGGTCGCCTCGATGACCTAGGCCTTGGGGACTGTGGGCCAGATGTCACACCCTTTCGAGATGGGACAGACGGCCATTCGCGACGGCCATTCTCCGGGCATTAGTCGGGTTATCATGAACATCTGCGCGCCCGTTCACCAGCCAGCGCGCAGGGTCTTAACTTTCCCTTCATACCGAGTGTTTTGGTTTTATCTGCATAATTGCTGGAACCGGAGAGGAAAGGCAACCCGAGTCGTGAATAACCAGCATCTAAGGTGGATTTTATGGTCGGACCGAACAAGCCCACATGTTTTCTTTAATTTCCTTCCCGGCCGGTGCTCGTCGCTCCCCGATGACCTGCGACATGGTCGTGTCTCACACAAACAGGCGCGCGTCATCACAAACCACCGCGCGCCCCACTTCCGCCCGCGCGCCGTGTTTGTGCCCGTGTCACCCACCGCGCGATGCACGGCTCGAGTGCGGCGTCACTCCGGCCTAACGACACGGCCGACGGGCGACACGACCGCCGCGCGGCGCCCCGCCGGCGCCGTGACGCGTCACCGAGCGCCGCGCGCCGCAAGGCCTCCGGAAACAGCCGGAATGTGACGCTCACGGCAAATGACGACCGTCACAAGGACGGGCGGCGTGACGGACACTCCGGAGAGGCCCCCCGGCTGTTCCGGGTGTGCCGCGCAGGCTGATAAGTGCCGCAGAAAGACAACTGACTGCGGGTGGGGACAGACGGACGATCGGAGAGCAGGCAGCGGCTGCGACACACCGACAAGCCCGGCAGCCGCAAATGGACAGACGCGGAGGGGAGATAGGGGTGATTTACTGGTGCCGGCGGCGATAAGAAGGCACGTGCTCCGAGGTATTGATTTACGGGGCATTCCTGGGACCTATAGTCAGGAATGGGATGCGACTGTGGTGTCCGGTCACGTACCCGCACACTCCGTGTAAAAGTCGGCACGCTGTCAACGTGTTATAGCGGGAGTAGACGAGCGACGGGACGCTCACGTGCGCCCCGTAGCCGATGGGCCCGTCCCTGCTCTGTTCCGGGACACGGGTGCAGGCAGGTCGGTGAACTTTCCGAGCTCACCGTTCAGTCACCTCTTTTGCGGACGATAATGACGGTAAATTGATCGTCGACTGGCCGGCAATCGGTCACCGGATTGGCGCGGATCGCCTCTCAATCACGGATGTCAGCGGCGCGTTACGCTCCTAGTTAATCAAAATCGCGGCCCTACCTCGCGGGATGACGCGTAAACTGTGTCTGTGTGGGTGATGCGGACGGACGGACCAGGCGCGGCGCGGGGCGTGTTCGGGCGGTGGTTTTTGTTGCTCGCGGTGCGGCGATGTTTGCTCTAGCCGCCCAGTCGTCTATCGGTGCTGGGCCGGCCGGTGGATTAATTTCGCCCTCGGCTATGTAGGTCGGTCGCTGCGGCCGGCGGCGACTGACAAACCCGCCGCTATCGCTCCGGGCTCCATCGGGAGCGATTGGCAGGCGAGGCGAACACATCGGCCTGCAAACCAGACCGGAAAGAACTTCATGGCCGCCACTGGACCGCGGTTGGAGTGGCCGGGCGGGCGGGGCTGGTCCGCTCGCCTCGCCAGGTCACTGGCACTGACCGTCCATGACCGATCAATTAACATTGCTGAGCCGCGTGTGAAAATAGTGGCGGCGTCTTCTCACCGGACTCGCATGCCGTTTCTCTTCTTGTCGTTTTCTCTGCGCGCTGCTTGCTGGAGCCGGTGTATTGTTCCAGTCAACTGGCGATGTCGTGTGAGGTCTGCCGCCGCTCGCCACCCGTCGCTCTCTGTAGGGGCAGCTGGCTGGGCCGGCATGAATGTCATCTCGAAGAGATTGTCATCTCGAGGAGATACACTGTCAAACTGACGCCGGTCCCATTGAATACCTTCACTGGTATACCATCAGCTGCTGCTCAGTCTATACAGCCTTGTGCCGGTGAATCTGCCTAGACACCATGACTGGATGAATGCTGTGAAAAGGACGCATGCCATCGATCTAAATTATTGACTAGGTCGTCTGTCGAGCGCCACTTCACAGTCCTTTCTGCGTCGGTGTCACAGGCCTTTATCGCCGGCACGAAAGGCATTTACACATCATGAAGTGACACCTGCTTCCCTTTTCAGAGTCTGCTGTCAGGATGGTACCAAAAAGCCAACACAGAACAAAACGTCCTCAGTCATCACCCGCTGCGTGTATTGTTTGGCTCTTTTCAGTGAAGGAAAACCTCAGATGCGTATCACTCGCTTGTCGTGTATAGGCGTATTCAAATTTTTAACCAATAGATCTTCACATATGTTTTGTTTGGCATCGCTTTGCCATGTAATACATATGAATCAATGTTCCATGACCCTCTCACCACCGTCCATCTCTCGTATCCGCGACTCAGCATAAACAACCTACATATGCCCTTGCATCTGCGCAGGTAGCCTGTATTTGCATGCTCAGTGTTTATCTTGCTCGTTCGTTGATTGACCGGCCGTGTCATTGACGATTTGTTTTTGTCCTTTCCAGGATCCACCACCGACCTGGCCAGCGTGGTTGAGATGTTTGACAACCTCCTGGAGCGGAGTCGGCGCGGCGTCGCCGACTCCGAGCCCGCGGCCACCTCCGCGCCCGAGTCGCCCGACTCGCCCGACTCCGTGGATTCGGCCGACTTGCCCGTGGACTCTCCGGTGGACTCTCCGGTGGACTCTCCGGTGGACGCGCCGGCCGCCGAGTCGGTGCCGATGCGGCCACTGCTGATCGTCGAGGAGCGCGACGAGCCGCCGCCGGCCTCGGAGCAGAGGAAGCGCGAGGCGCGCGCCGGCCGCTACACCAAGCGGCGTCCGGCCGAGCCGCGGCCGCTCTCGGTCAGCTCGACCTCGTCCTCGTCCTCGTCCGCATGCTCCTCGCTGCCCCGGGGACGGGTGTGGCGGCTGCAGCCGGGCGAGACCACCCCCGAGGGCAGCCGCGGCGACCGGCTGCGCAAGTCGGCCAGTTCAGGTCAGTCGCGGGAGGTCAGGGCTGGCGCGGGTCGGAGGGTCAACAGGGGTCGCAGGGATAGAAAGGAAAGGGGAGGCTAAGCTGACAGCATGGGTCGGAGCGTTGCGACATCCCAACAAATGACATGACATGATGAGATAAGTCGTCATGTGTGTACTTCTAATGACCGAGTAGAGAATGTCTTGTTAGCTCGTCATTAATAATTGCGGCCTATGAAAAGGCAGGGAGAATGAAAAAGAACGCTGCTCGTCAAAGTCTCAGACCTAGTTTATAAAAAGGGGCGTAGTCTGCCAGTTCATGAATCATCATCGGTCTTCAATGGGGCTAACTAGACGACTAACGAAGGCACTGAACTCGCTCAGGAAGATTTACGACGCCAACTCTGATGTCTCCGACGTCACAGCGCCTGTCGTTTCGCGGTCGAGTTCACTTCCAACGCGGCGCCGTCGCCCGGACGTCACATGACACACGGCCTCATCACGTGACCCACGAGAACGGGTCACGTGACGCCGTGATAGCGGCCCACGGCAGGCTGATGACCGATGGCCGCTGTCGCCGCTGCCAAATGTCCCAGCGGCTTCGTGCGCCGTTGGTCTGCATATTTCTGTCGGCGGTCTGGGTAGGAGCGTCCTCCAAGGACAATGTCTCAATCCGGCGGCTTGGTGCACGCTCACGCTCGCGTGCCGACCTCCAATGGCGGCTGTTCACCGGCACCCCGAGGGACGACTCGAGCGGTGTGTGCCAGAGTCGGCGGCCGGCTCCGTCACTCTGCTTTGTCGGCCGACGGTGGACCTCTCACGGCCTCCCGTTATAATCGGGCCCGGACGGGCGGTGTACGAACAGGCGGGGTCAGGCCGGCCGGCGCCGCTGAGTGCGTCTGGTTCGTCCGACGGGCCGACATTGGGGTCAGACATGGACCACAGGCGACATGCACGCCCTGCACCGCGCACATACCCGCCGGCGGCAGCGTGCGGTACCAACAGCCGCGAACCACCGCCGCCGCGGGCCGAGACGGCTGCCAAACCAAACGCAGAGCGTGTTCCAGTTCTGCGTGCAGAACCGCTAGTTATGAATTGGTGGGAGTGAATGAGCTGAGAACGAGAGCCCATTTCCCAGCGCCCGCCGCCGAGTGATGCCTTCGATTTGCTGAACTAAGTGCTGACAAATGCAGCGCACGTTTCGGATCAAACTGGGATTTCATTTGAGACGGGAACTTTTCGATGTTTATTCTCCATAATGCGATGCATGTAATGCATTTCTCGAGCGTCTGGATAAAGACGGGCGGAGACGGATAGCGTTGTCCACGCGATCCTTGGATGCATGACGACTGCTCCGCATTGATTTCTAAGTCTTTAATCCCGGTGTCGGGCCTTTTCATGCATAGCCAAGCGGCGCTCGGTACCGTTGCATCCCACGCGCGAGCGGTCGCCGAACTCCCCCGTCCCTCCCTTCTAGACCACATTTGGGCCCATCACATGTGCATCGCCACCGTCACCATTTTTTACACCCCGCACACGTGCACACGCTACCGCCGCGAACCGCTGCCATAAAATCCATCAGGGAGACGCTTCTGGGGGTGCCATCACGGTGCAATACCCCGGGGGAGGCCGGCGGGTTGCGATGTGTCACGACCGACGTGGCAGCGCGGGTCGCCGACCACCCCTGCGGCTGTCCGCTGTCTGCACGCCACGCGCGCACGTGCCCGCCGCCGCCGACGATCTGCATCCGGCGCCGTCGGCGTCGACGGACACTGACCTTCGTCGGTGCCGGCGGAACGGCCGAGTTATGATCCGGTATGGCTTCAGGGGTGACTAGATGACCGGACCGCGATGCCAGTAATCCAGCACGCCGCACAGTGGGGATTTTTCCGATCTAGCACGTATTTATTCGTAGAGGGCAAACCATAGGTAGAATTGTAGCCAGATTGTGCACAGATGTTGGCTGGTGTGTCCTGGTGAGAATTTTACCTGTAAATGTGCATAATCAACATAGTATAGGGGGTTCAATTGGACCCCCCGCTCAGCCGTTTGGCCCCTGATCAAGCTAGAGCTTCGCGGAAAAGTCAAGCGTGCTGCCTATGACAAAATTAGGCCGAATATATCCAATTTCAAAGTCCAAGGTCATAAGCTGACTTTCCAAGTCAGTTTAATGACCCAACTAAAGTTGGGAAATCGAGACCTCTTGAAACTTCGCAAAGTTAGGGTGTTACGGGGTATTTTGGGGTGCTGATCACGAATTTCATGTTAGTTTTGATCACAGACGATGTCTTTATGCATTTAGGCCAGGTCGGGTCAGGTCAGGTTAGATCAATTAGTAGGCGTCCTGCCGGCCATCCATAGAAGTGTCACCTACTACTGATAGATTCGTAACATGGTACGAAGGCACCAGAACTACTTCGTAAATATTCAAATGGCTGCTTAAATCGAAATCAGCACCAAAAACTACCCTAGAAACAAGTAAAACTCGAAAAAGTGAACCAAGGTCATCAAAAGGTCAATGACCTTGACTTGACCTTCAGGTGACCTTGACACCCACCATTATGCATGGCACCAACATCATTTCACATATTTGAACGTTTAAAACCACAAAAAGACTGGAAACCGCGGATAATGTGAGCTGGCATACGCCGAATCGCGATTCCGGCCAAACATGGTCTCGAGAAATATGCCACAGGTCAAAGGTCAGTTGGGTCAGAGTCATGAAATTTTTAGGTTAGATGTAAAATTGATGATCTCGAGGGTACCGAAAGTTTCGGCGCAATCGGCCGCTTTTTGCGCGAGTAATTTGCGGAAAACCATGGGGTTTTATCCGACCCCTTCCCCCTCCCCCTCCCCATAAGTGCGATGGTTAATAAGGTTACGGTATGTATAATTTACGCTTGTCATCCTATTCCTAATGAATGTGTCTCAGAAAATATGCATCATATAAATCACGAAGTAAAATTATTCGCCTATGTCCGGAACATACCTATATCGTGCTGTTTGCCCTAGCGCTCTTCGAGTGGGGTGTTAAGATACTCTAATGTGAATATTCAGTGTTCAGGCAAGTTTCGGCAGCCTAACTAGGCGTTGTCTTGTGCAGAAGAAAGTGGCGAATTCGATAGGATATATTTCGGAGTGGAAAAGTGTGGAGAACATTGTTGATTTCCTACATTTATTTAGAATACCATTCCTTCAATATGGTGTCTGTAAGGGTTTTTTATAAAGGGCATTTTTGTGACCTTAGTAAGGTTAGTGGCATACTTTCTGTTTGCCATTCCATTCCTAATAAAGGTGCCTTTCAGACGATATGCAACTTTAAGACCTCGCAAGATTAAAACCAACAGGACAGGACAATGAAGTTGAGCTATACTTTCGGGCCTTGCTGAGCCCATTGAGTAATCACGCATGAGTGTGAACTTTGGGCGCATTTTTCCTAGTTTTGCTGTGGACATACAGATAAAACAATGCCATATATGAGAAATTCAGACATTTCTTAGCCCTACTGACACAAAAAATAAACAAAAATCCAAAAAAAATATTTTTTGAATTAATAGGCGCTAGATCGGAAAAATCCCCACTGTGCGCCGGGGTGAATCCGATGAATGGCTGCCGTCGGCTGGGGAGCCCGGCGCGTGTGTTGTTTGCTGTAGCCGTTCGCTGTGTCGGTTTGTTCAGCTCAGACCCGCTGAGGCCAGGTGTTGTGGTGCAGACGCAGACAGGGAACAGGCTGACGGCCGGCCGTGGGTGTGGCTGGCCGCCCAGCTGAGCCGCTGGCTCTGCTCAGCGCAGGCCGCCTGTCAGACCCAGGCGCCCGGCAGCTATGGATGTGTTTCTCTCTCAGTCGCGCGCCGCTCCCCGCCACTTCGGAGATGACAAGTTTATTTGTTCGTGTCGGCTGATTCGGCTTAGGACCCCGATGCCCGCGCCATCTCACCGGTCATTCTCCCCAGTTGGCTGTCAGTGGCCGGAACCACTCGCGTCGGCTCGTTTATAGGGTAGGATAGCCCCTACAAAACGATACCGCCGGAGTGATAACGACGGGATGTAGTCTGGATTGAGGATATGTAAGGTTCCACTTATTTTAAGATCGCATCTTTTAATTGGTGAGGGTGGGTGGGAAACTTCTCGCTCACTCTACGACCCTTTCGCCGCCCGTCGCCGTCGACGACTGCCGTTCGTGCCACTCCAGTCGACAGCCCGGCGGTCCCGCGGCCCGCGCCCTCCCAGACACCCCTCCGAGGGCTGCCCTGCGTCTGTCGATGGGGCGATTAGCCACGGTCACGTTCGGTGGCGCCCTGGCAGGGTCCTAACCTTCCATAGCCGCGTCGCCGCTATGAGTTGATTAGGACCCCGATGCCCGCGCCATCTCACCGGTCATTCTCCCCAGTTGGCTGTCAGTGGCCGGAACCACTCGCGTCGGCTCGTTTATAGGGTAGGATAGCCCCTACAAAACGCCAAATGCACCAAATGGAATTTAGGGTGGCCGGATATTATTGCTAGCGCGCTCTGCCCATCGAGCGCGAACCGGTCAACATGCTTCCGCGATGGTGGTGTAGTGGCCTCGAAAGTTATTTTGATTGATACGGTCGTTTACCGATCCCCCGGAGGGCTGTGAGAGGTCCAACGTCAAGCGTCCACGTGCGGGTTGTTGACTAGCACCTGGTGGGTTAACTACGAATCTGGGCAGATGCAGAAAGGTCCCCAAGTGTGCCGCTGCCTGTGCCCGATTTATAGACTGCAGTCGCTCCTGAGGTGATTATTGGGCCGGACCGATATTGCGCGGGTGAACCGGGGCGGTATGCGTCCCTCCGCCCAAAGGTCGGCTCCCGTCTTGAGCTCGCTGTGGCTGGACCCCATCGCCTCGCACAGTGTCGCCAGTGAATCACTGTCGACCGGCGTGGGGCACCCCGACCCGATGATGGAGCGTGCCCGTGTCCCGGGTGTTCGCTCATCGTCTGCCTCGCTCGGCCGCCGCCAGCGTGTGACCGGAGGGGGAGCAGGGCCGCGCGGCGGCGACTG